GTGTGTGTGTCAGCGTGTGTGTGTATGTGTTTGGGTGCGTGTGTCTGTGCGTGTGTCTGTCTCTGTGTGTGCGTGTGTGTGTGTGTGTGTGTGTGTACCTCCGGTGTTGCAGCGCCGGGCCATCTCCCAGATGATGAGGCCGTAGCTGTACATGTCGGCCATGATGTACGCCTGGAAGTGGTTCTTGTTGAGCGTCTCATCCAGAACCTCCGGCGCCATGTAGCGCCGCGTGCCGACCCGCGTGCTGAGCGGCACGTCCACCTCGTTAGTGTCGCTATTGGCAACGATAACGAAAGAGAGACAGAGCAGTCAGTCACATGCTAAGGTAACACTGTACTTCACATATATACAACAAATTCACTTTTAAACAATATTATATATACACACAATAAAGCAGATAAACGTTTGGTTTACACCATATAGACGATGCTGGGCTGTTTAACCCGGACCACTCTATGTATTGGTTTTATTTCATATTGTTTTATTTGATGTTATTCTATTCTAAAATGGAGCAACTTTCACAAAACCCCAACTTTGCCCTCGGATAAACTGAATATTCTGATTTGACGTTTAGGAGAAATATACAACGACAAATTAGAGGGATAAGAAGTAAAAAGGAAATAAATGTTTGCACCAGGAATAATTTGTGAGAAAATCTCAAAAAATCTCTCTCTCTCTCTCCCCCCCTGACAGCCGGTCAGTATCGTCTCATGCAGCTCACTGATCCAGTAATGAGTGACCCGGCAGTGTATAACTAGTTTGTTCCAGAGGTAGATAAAGCTAAGTGTGTTAGGTCTAACTCTTAGTGTGTGTGTTGCTCCGCTCTCCGGTCCGTCACAGCGGGCGGAGCTGCAGGATTTCTGCTTCACACACGTTGCATAGCGCTATTTTACTGTCATTTTTGGACACCTTAAAATACTGCCAGACTGGTGAAGCCATTTCGGCGAGCTTGTTTTGCCGCGCACAGAGAAAAGTGTCATGTATTTTACGTCATGCGATTACAGTTTTCACGAATGTAAAAACAAAGTGCAACAGTTTCCGTACCTGTTGAACTTGACGGCGAGGCCGAGGTCAGCGATGCAGCAGGCTCCGTTCTTCTTGATCAGGATGTTCTTGCTCTTCAGGTCTCGGTGAGCGATGGCGGGCTTCCCCTGCGTGCCGTAGATCTCCGTGTGCAGGTGGCAGAGGCCGCAGGCGGCAGAGTACGCCAGGCGGAGCAGCGTCTGCGTGTCCAACGTGCTGTGCTTCAGGAAGTCGTACAGAGAGCCGTTCTCGTGGTAGTCCGTGATGAGGAAGAGCTGCGTGAAGGCGCCCGTGCCTTTAATGTCGGCGGCGATGAAGCCTGCAAGACGGAGAGAAGGGTTTGAGGGTTAAAAACACATGACATGAAGAAACGTGAAAATTAACTGTTTATACAAGACGAATTATTGTATATTAAAGGTCTCCTATTATACTGTTTTTCATCAATATATCACAGGTCTCAGATATATACAGGACCTGTCTCTGATTGGCTGAAACACCAAACAGGTCATTGCAGCATTACCCATAATCCCCTCTGTTTCAGCCCTGTTTCCAAAGTGCTGATTCTCTGTCTGTTACTTTAGATGAAAATAAGGAGCCCCTCCCCATGCCCCTCTGAGAGAGATTTGGTTACAAAGAACTCAATGATGCTCTAGGAGGAGATTCAGGTGATAAGGTGTGGGGGGGGGGGGGTTACCTTGGTTGCTGATTGGCTAATGGTTACACAAGACAAAACATCGTTATGACATCATCAAGTGGCCAAAATCTGATCAGCTCATTTTCAGACAGGTTTTTATAGAAATGGATCAAAAAGAGAGAGAATCTTTGTTCCTGAAACTTTCAGAGTCTCTTTCCACAGAGGGGACACATGTTGATGTAGAAGAGACATGAAGAAGAGGGGACACATGTTGATGTAGAAGAGACATGAAGAAGAGGGGACACATGTTGATGTAGAAGAGACATGAAGAAGAGGGGACACATGTTGATGTAGAAGAGACATGAAGAAGAGGGGACACATGTTGATGTAGAAGAGACATGAAGAAGAGGGGACATATGTTGATGTAGAAGAGACATGAAGAAGAGGGGACACATGTTGATGTAGAAGAGACATGAAGAAGAGGGGACACATGTTGATGTAGAAGAGACATGAACAAGTGGATTTTGCACAATAGGTGACCTTTAAATAACTTAAATGATACTGTTTTCTACTTTGTATAGCCTCGAAAGACCCCGCGTGTGTGTGTGTGTACCGAGGATGTTTTCGTGTCTCATGAGCACCGTCTGGTAGATCTCCGTCTCCCTGAACCAGCTGGCCTCCTCCCGGGTGAAGAACACTTTCACAGCCACTTTCTCTCCCCTCCAGCGGCCGAGCCACACCTCTCCGTACCGCCCTTTCCCGATCTGACGCACCATCTGGATCTGCTTCGCTATCGTCCGCTGCACCTATTATTAATATTCAAAAGATTTATTGTCATATGCACAAAGCTAGTGTAGAAATGGCAATGAAATTCTTCTGACCTGAGCTCCTCCAACAATGCAACATATATGATAAAATGCAAAATACAAAGTAGTGCAACAAGTCTATATACATGTCAATAGAATATGTACAAGAACAGAATATGAAATTAAATAATGTAAGAGGATAATAGACATTTTACTGTGTGTGTGTGTGTGTCTGTCTGTGTGAGAGTGCGTGTGTGTCAGCGTGTGTTTCTGTGTGTCTGTACATCTGTGTGTGTGTGTGAGAGAGTGTGTGTGTGTCAGCGTGTGTTTCTTTGTGTGTGTGTCTGTCTGTGTCAGTGTCCGTGTGTGTGTCTGTACGTCTGTGTGTCTGTGTGTCTGTGTCTGTCTGTACGTACGTCTGTCAGTGTCTGTGTGTGAGAGAGTGTGTGTGTCAGCGTGTGTTTCTGTGTGTGTGTCTGTCTTTCTGTTTGTGTGAGTCTGTCTGTGTGAGTGTGTGTCTGTGTGTGTGTCTGTCTGTCTGTACGTCAGTGTCTGTGTGTGAGAGAGTGTGTGTGTGTCAGCGTGTGTTTCTGTGTGTGTGTCTGTCTTTCTGTTTGTGTGAGTCTGTCTGTGTGAGTGTGTGTGTGTGTGAGTGTGTGTGTGTGTCTGTCTGTACGTCAGTGTCTGTGTGTGTGTCATCGTGTGTTTCTTTGAAGAAGTTTTTCTGCTGTACCACAGTAGTCTTTTAGATGTATTACATGTGTAATATATGTAAGAATATGAGTGAATATTTATAGAAGTGTGTGTTGGTGCAGAGCTGCCTCCCTACCAGCAGGGGGAGCCCCGAGCCACTGCCCGAGCTCTGTGATTGGTGAATGAGGTCTTTGAGCGACTCTCCAACCGGGATGAAGACTTCCTGCTCCAGATCTTTGTGGTACCGCTGACGCTCACTCTGCCACTTGTACCTGAAACACAGAAACACATCTCTAAATACACATTTCCACCTTAATTGAATCATTAGGGAGATATGTTGAGTTTCAAGTCATGACAAGCAAACAGTGGGTTGTTTTCTGTATGGAGTTTAGTGGATCAAGGGTACAAATATATCGTTAAATCTTTACGGAGATATGTTGAACGTTTAAAGTCATTCTTTCTCAGGACTCTCAAGCAAACCGTTAGTAAAATGGTTGTTTTCTGGATGGTTTTTAGTAGATCAAGGGTAGGCTAAGCTCCCGTTGTAGCTGCTTCGTCCACATTTAATAGAACATCATCTAGTTATAAATACCGCAGCAACTTTATGTTAGTACCATAGACACTCATGTACACAAATACATTTATACACATACATTTCCCCCCATACTCTAGGGCAGGTAAGAGCTACTGCTTGTGTGTTTGCATGGACTTTAAATGTGAAAATGCCACATATTTCTGAGTGATTTAGGGGTGTGGTCCTACCGGTAGTAACAGACGACGGTGACACAGATGAGCGTGCAGCAGCAGACCGTCATGGAGATCAGGAACGCCAGCCAGTGGGGGCTGCCTTCTGGAAAACAATGACACGGTGGAGGTTAAATCTACATGATGAGACACCTGAGCATCAACACCTGGCACCATAGCTACAGTGTCGTTATGACAATGAAAATCTTAGGTCACAGGCACATCCAACAGTGCAACACAATAAAACAGATAAAATACATTTTTATTTTAAAAAGGAGGAGAGAGAGTGTTACCTGCGGGAGGCTGAGGGGGGAGTGTGGGCTGCAGGTCTCTGTTGCAGAGGTCCGTGTTGCAGCACTCGATCGTCCTCCGGGTCTGAGCGTTCGGAGAGTCCTGAGAATAAAGAGAAATCAAATTACATTTGGTTCTACTTCACTACTTTTAGACTTATGGAGTGAAAGCATTAACTTTTCAGCAGTTAAGCAGTTCTTACATTTTCACTGTATTTGCTTGTATATTTATCCATGTTGAACACATGCTCTATTTGTGATATTTTGTCAAAGCATTTCATTTTTTCAATAATTGCTTTTATTTTCCCATGTTTTGGTTTCTCTTCCTGTGTTTATACAGATATTAACCCCGTTTGTTTTGCCTCCCTTTTGTGTGTGTGTGTGTGTGTGTGTGTGTGTGTGTGTGTGTGTCTGTGTGTATCTGTGTGTGTCTGTGTGTGTGCGTGTGTGTACCTTGCACTGGAAGTGTGAGCCCTCATACTTCATGCAGCCCGAGGTGAGGATCGCCTCTCCGTGTTCGTCCTCTTCGATGATAGCAAAACACTGACCATTGGTCCTGAGAAGACACGCAACAAAAATCACTTTAGTTTAGGTTTCAACCCCTCCTCAAACCTCACCAGACAGACTTTTCTATCGGTCTGATAGAAAAGTCTGTCTGTATATATATCGCCTATCAGTCAGACATATACTAAATATTTCTAACACCACGTGTACTCGTTTTATTTCTCTGCCATTGTATTTCATATTTTAAAATTGCATTTGGCTTTTCATGCAATAATGTAAAGCAATTTGAGCTGCATTTTATATAATCAGGAATCCTGAAGTCAAATGTAAAACCTTTTAAGACCCTTTCCATACATTTTAAGACCTCATCGCCACTTGGAGTTTTAACCGGTTACCTTGGCGACACACCTTGGTTACCTTGGCGACTTTACCTCACATTGACTATATACAGTATTGATTGTCCTTCCTCCTTATCTTCCAACTATTTGGACGCAGACTTGCATTTCCCCATAACGATGTTGTTTAACAACCGGCGTAAACGGGCCTTCGCGCTATCAAGCAGTGAGCGTGCGATGTCCTGTTCAGATGACGTCACACCCAACGGGATGCCATCAATAAACTACACAGAATCACACTACACACCTACGCAATGATTACATTCAGGCAGACTGTAGAATACAACCTCTTTGGACAATTTATATACTTATTGAAAACAAGCTACAAAATGTAATACCTTGGAAAATGCCGTTTAATTTTTAATAGCCTAATTTTCACTAAATTGATTTATCAGCTTTTAATACTTTTTAAGACCCCGCGGACCCCCTGATAATGCATTTTATATAGTAAGTCTGTCTGTCTCCCTGTTGAGTCTGTACTCACTGGCAGGTGTTGTTGGTGGCGTCCTCAGGACAGTGTCCCGAGCAGTAGCAGCTGAGGAACCGCGCGGCGTCCTCCGGAGTGATGGTGGAGTCCTCTCCGGGCCGCCGGGCCTCATGTTTTACCCCCGTGCCCTGCAGCACGTGGTCCGGGTTCTGACCTGCGGCTGCAAAGAGAACATTTTATTAATAATAATAATTCATTCTATTTAGATGCGCCTTTCAAAGCACACAAGGACACCTTACAATTAATTAAATGAGGTTTAAGACAATACAAAAGGACCTTAACAGGGGACATGCAGGGGAACAGGGGACATGCGGGGGAACGGGGGACATGCGGGGAAACGGGGGACATGCGGGGAAACAGGGGACATGTAGGGGAACAGGGGACATGCAGGGGAACAGGGGACATGCAGGGGAACAGGGGACATGTAGGCTCCAAATATCTGGAACAAACTCCCAGAAACCTGCAGGTCCGCTGCAACTCTGACTACTTTTAAATCCAGGCTGAAGACTTTTCTTTTTGTCGCTGCTTTTAATTGAACTATTCATATCTTAGACTGCACTGTAACTTTTATCCATGTACTTTTTTCTTTTAATGTTTAATTGACAGCACTGTAACTTGTATCCATGTATTTTTTCTTTTAATGTTTATTTTATTAGCTTTTCTTTTTAATGACTGCCATTTTCTTAATCTCTTTCATTTTTTGTAAAGCACTTTGAATTGCCTTGTGTTGAAAAGTGCTATATAAATAAACTTGCCTTGCCTTGCCTTGCCTAGGGAAACAGGGGACATGTAGGGAAACAGGGGACATGCAGGGGAACAGGGGACATGCAGGGGAACAGGGGACATGTAGGGAAACAGGGGACATGTAGGGAAACAGGGGACATGCAGGGAAACAGGGGACATGCAGGGTAACAGGGGACATGTAGGGAAACAGGGGACATGCAGGGGAACAGGGGACATGCAGGGGGACAGGGGACATGTAGGGAAACAGGGGACATGTAGGGAAACAGGGGACATGTAGGGAAACAGGGGACATGCAGGGGGACAGGGGACATGTAGGGAAACAGGGGACATGTAGGGAAACAGGGGACATGCAGGGGAACAGGGGACATGTAGGGAAACAGGGGACATGCAGGGAAACAGGGGACATGCAGGGTAACAGGGGACATGTAGGGAAACAGGGGACATGCAGGGGAACAGGGGACATGCAGGGGAACAGGGGACATGTAGGGAAACAGGGGACATGTAGGGAAACAGGGGACATGTAGGGAAACAGGGGACATGCAGGGGAACAGGGGACATGTAGGGAAACAGGGGACATGTAGGGAAACAGGGGACATGCAGGGAAACAGGGGACATGCAGGGAAACAGGGGACATGCAGGGAAACAGGGGACATGTAGGGAAACAGGGGACATGCAGGGGAACAGGGGACATGCAGGGGAACAGGGGACATGTAGGGAAACAGGGGACATGTAGGGAAACAGGGGACATGCAGGGGAACAGGGGACATGTAGGGAAACAGGGGACATGTAGGGAAACAGGGGACATGTAGGGAAACAGGGACATGCAGGGGAACAGGGGACATGTAGGGAAACAGGGGACATGTAGGGAAACAGGGGACATGCAGGGGAACAGGGGACATGTAGGGAAACAGGGGACATGTAGGGAAACAGGGGACATGCAGGGGAACAGGGGACATGTAGGGAAACAGGGGACATGTAGGGAAACAGGGGACATGTAGGGAAACAGGGACATGCAGGGGAACAGGGGACATGTAGGGAAACAGGGGACATGTAGGGAAACAGGGGACATGTAGGGAAACAGGGGACATGCAGGGAAACAGGGGACATGCAGGGGAACAGGGGACATGCAGGGAAACAGGGGACATGTAGGGAAACAGGGGACATGTAGGGAAACAGGGGACATGTAGGGAAACAGGGGACATGTAGGGGAACAGGGGACATGCAGGGGAACAGGGGACATGCAGGGAAACAGGGGACATGCAGGGAAACAGGGGACATGCAGGGGAACAGGGGACATGCAGGGGAACAGGGGACATGCAGGGGAACAGGGGACATGCAGGGAAACAGGGGACATGCAGGGGAACAGGAGACATGTAGGGAAACAGGGGACATGTAGGGGAACAGGGGACATGCAGGGGAACAGGGGACATGCAGGGGGACAGGGGACATGTAGGGGAACAGGGGAAATGCAGGGGAACAGGGGACATGCAGGGGGACAGGGGACATGCAGGGGAACAGGAGACATGTAGCACTACAGTGAGTTGGCTTCTTCTATAATAACATGGACTTCAGGACTTGTACTTGTCATAGAGTATTTTTAAGACCCAAGTTAAATGTTTCCTAAAGACTTCTTCATGCAGTCCTACTTTCATGTTGTTTATCTCCAGTCCTCCTTAACTCCCTCACCGCCTGCTTTCCTTCCCCTTGTGTTTCTTTTGCTCCACGTCTCTCCTCTCTTTTAAAGCTCACAGTAAAAACATTCGCTGTGCAGACGTGCAGGTGGTCATGTCTGGACTTGTTCTCCCTGCACAGCTACACTTTAAGCTGCCTGTCTGTCTGCCTGCCTGCCTGTGTGTCTGTCCGTCTGTCTGTCTGTCTCTCTCTCTCTCTCTGTCTCTCTGTCTGTCTCTCTGTCTGTCTCTCTGTCTGTCTCTCTGTCTGTCTCTCTGTCTGTCTCTCTGTCTGTCTCTCTGTCTGTCTCTCTGTCTGTCTCTCTGCCTGTCTCTCTGCCTGTCTGTCTGTCTGTCTCTCTGTCTCTCTGTCTGTCTCTCTGCCTGCCTGTGACTCATGTTTAACGGAGGGACAGAGGAAAAGTAAACCAAGTAGAAGAAACATTTCCTCGCAGCGACACTTAAATAATCTGCCAAGTCTGGAAATGGCATCATCCCAGTCTAAACCAAAAAAAAACCTCACACACAGTTTCTCTAAGTCCCGCCTCCCTGTCAGGCTTATGGCTGTTCTGATTGGCCTACAGAATAAAGGTATTGAAGGGAGAAGCAGAATAATCTATAATGAAAATAGCAAGTTGCATTCCTAAACAGTGTTTTTTATTATTTTAACTTATTCAGGTTATATTATTATCTCTACCATTTTGACTACTTGTATTTCTCTGTCTTTTTTAGTGGATCTTTTATACTTTCCTATAATTTATATTGCCTAAATATACTAATGATTTGTTATACCATGTGTACTCTTTTTATTTGTCTGCCATTTTATTATTTTTTATTTTAAATTGCATTTGGCTTTTCATGCCATAATGTAAAGCACTTTGAGCTGCATTTTATATAATAATAATAGTTGGTCTAGTTGCTTTAAGAACAAAATAAAAATTAAATAAACTAAAGAAAGTTTACAGTACATTTTTTTAAATATTTGTTCTAATTCTATGACAATTTATTTTGAAACTTCATTTTATTTTTTACTGCCATACTGTAAAAAGCACTTTAAAAAGTGACCTCATACAAAATGCACTTTTTGATGTCTGTTATACATAAAGATGTGTCCCCGGTGTGTCAGGGAACTCACGCAGCGTCAGAAAATAAAACCCTCTCTCTTTTCCTCCGTACCCAAATCTCTAAAAACGGGGCTACAACGGAGCTGATCCAGATTTGCGTCCGATATGACGTAATATCTGAAATGTGGACCCACGGCCCAATCAGAAACGTTGCTATCAGAAACAATGCCCGACGTGTTTTGGACGTAATATGTGTTTACATTAGCATCGCTAACGCTCAGAGCTAACCTGTACTGGAGAGCATGTGTGTGAAGAAGCAGGAAGTAAAAAGGAACTCACCTTGTGGTATAACCGGCAAGAGAGAAAGCCTTTGAGCTCCATACTGTTTCAGATCCTTGATAATCCATGATATGGCGTTTCATCACGGCAGTGTTTAGTTTAGACAGTAGCTGCCGGGTCCCGCATGAGCTCAGCCCCCTCCTCTTTATTTTGTTATCATTTTTTTTTTTTTTTTTTAAGCTTTATACCCAAATCAGCAATTTTGAAACAGGAAGTGAAATAGAGGGATATGAGGCATGGCTAGAATGGGTGATCTGTTTGGTATTTTGAGCAAAACCTGTTTTTTACATTTTTTTATATATCTGAGACCTATGGTATTGCCTAAAAATAGCATGATAGGTGACCTTTAAGTTGAGCTTTATGTTTACAAAGGAGCTTTAAAATACTATTATTAGATAAACCAAAGAAAACTTGCAGTATACATGTTTTTATTGTTAAATATAAAACATGGTTGTGCTGAGGCTGGAAATGGCTGCTTGTGTTTCTGTCTCCGTCCACATGTGTGCTTAATTGTGCCGACAGTCAGAGTGGAGACTGAGGTCTGGCAGGGAGCATGCTGGGTAATCACACTCTTAAAGGCACAGCATCTAAAGAAATATAAATCTTGTTTCATTTGAAATATCTGAATCACAACGTGGACGCTGAGTTTGTGTGGTCTGCAGACCCTCAGTTGTCTGCTCTCTTGCAGAGAAACTTTATGACTTGGTTTTTAGTCAACGATGACTCACTGTCTGCAAATATGCAACTTATTAAGATAATAAAACTGGTGGTGAAGACAAAATCAATACGGCTGAGAGAATCGATTAAAGGGAAGTAATAACAGGCAGCTATTTTGGTTGTTGTGGCTTTTAAAAAACAGCTTTTCTTTGCCATACGTTTATTTTTGTGAAGTAAATATCTTTAGGTGGACTTTACAATTAATAGGGGGGAAACAAAGTCAACTATTCACATTAACCCTTAGTTGCAATTAATAACCACGTAAAAATTGCGAATAAATATGATTTTCTATTTTGACTTTAGTTTTAATGTACATATAACTGTTTTTTTTATACTTTTCTTTATTTATCTTTACTTATTTCTTTCCTCATAATGCTGCAGCAACTACATTTCTCACTAAGGATTGGTTACGGTTTATGTTATCTTAAAGGTCACCTATCAAGCTATTTTTATAGCATAGGTCTCAGATATATAAAAATATATAAAAAACATGTCTATGAAGTGTTTAGCTCAAAATACCAAACAGATCACCCATTCTAGCCATGCCTCATATCCCTCTATTTCACTTCCTGTTTCTAAAGTGCTGATTTGGGGTATAAAGCTTTAAAAAAAATTGATAAAATAAA